GCGCTCTGATGCCGTTCAGAGAACACTGTGAGAAAAATCGTTTTCGTTCAATAGCAAAAGCTCACCTGAGAAAACAAACGAGCGTATCCATCAAGCGGATATTGCGGTACATCACGACCGGAACATCTCTGCCAACTTTCACATGGTCCGTCCAAGGAAACAGCTTGTGTTGCAGCGGAGTGAATACCAAAACAAAACACAACAAAAAGGTGGAAGTTGGGAATAAAATGAATGAAGCACGATAAGGAAATGTGCAGCAAATGAATTAGATTAAGAGCGAAGATGCAGATCGCATCATGACAACTGAGAAAGAATGAATCTGGCGGATTCAAGCTCCGAAAAGCGAAGCATTTGATTGCTGGAAAAGAAAGAGAATATACAGAAAAGAAGATGGTCAGAAAAAGAGAGTGCAGGAGTAGTTCAGAAAGATTCTTCAGGAACTTCCTTGAACAACTCATCGAGATTCTTTTTCCATGTGGTATTACCGATGGAAAGAGTAGCCCTGAATCCCGACACTTTCGCCAAACGAGAGCTCGTCCACTTTCCTGTCTTAGGGTCTTGGGCAACAACTACATCTCCCCTTTTCAGATGACGTTGTTCACGTGGCGAGAGGTTACGCAGAGTGACTCCACCAACTTGGACTCGAATTTCTTTGAAAGGTACGTCCTCCTTTATTCCATACTTGTAAGTATTACGAATTCCGGGTGACCTTGATCGCGATCTCCGGGGAGAAGGGCGTCGCTCGCGACGATCAGGACTTCTTCTATGCCTTACTTCTCGATCTATACTTCTGCTACGGCTTCTACGTCTTCCAGAAACATGGTTCTCCTTCACCTTTAATTCCGCTTGATTCAGAAGTTCCTTTAACTCGCATAACAGGTTTTGTTTCTGACTTCGATCCATCATGTGTGCTCTGTCACCAAGTTCTCCTATCATCCGGAATGCCCGAGATTGGAAGATAGCTGCTAGTTCAGATTCACGGCAATTGCGCTGCAAGTCCAACAGCTTGTCTTCGACATCCTTGACGAGAAGTTTTATCTCCTCCATTTCGAAATCCGGTGCTGAGCTATAGGCAGTACCGTTGGCTCCACCATTTTCTGGCATTATCGAAGAGGGAGCAAATGGGGAAGAAAACGGCGGTGCTGTATACGGAGCACCGTATCTGTTTGGTACAGGAAAATTGGAAAATGGTTGTGCGATTGGGGGAAGAGCTTGTTGCTGTGCTCGTGCAAACTCCGCTTGCAATCTAGCTCTTTCTTCGAGCTGTACTTGTCTACGGATTTGCTCCTCCATTTCTCGTTTCTTCAATTCTAGCTCCATTTGCATTTTGCGCTCTAGTTCCTCCTCCCGTCGCCTCAGTCGTTCCTCTTCCAACCTTTGCGCTTTCGCTTCTAATTTCGCTCGCAACTCTTCATCACTGGCCACTCGAAACGGCTGCTCCAACGAATGTGGATTTACAGATGGTGGTATCAGAGCTTGAATAGGACCCTGTACTCCCACACCGGCAAATAAAGGACGAGGATGAAGCATCGATGGTGCTTGAGACTCTGCTGGTGCGGGGAACATTATTCTCTAGTCAGCTTCGCTGATCACCCTCGGGTCTTTCCAACGGAGAAAGCATTCTGAAATGGTCATGGGAATCCAAGGAGGGAAATCTTTTGAGAGTAGGTTGGCTCATCCCGGCATTGTCGAGGGCATTCATGTATTATTTTTGTGCGGTAATGCAGCGTTCTCCCTTGAAGCTATTGGAATTGTTTTGAGCACTGTCCTTCGCGTTCTTTCTCCATGGCAAAGTGTAACGGATACTGTACGACAGGCACTGTACTCAGCTGGCGCTCGGAGACCGAGTCCACATCAGGGCCATGCGGTGCTACGTTCGATTATGGGTAATAGTCTTCGGTAATCACGGACTTATATCCAGAACGATCGAAGTGTTGTATCCGGTCTATAGCTGGTCCACGGATCTCTGGCGATGTTATATTTTCTAAGACACGTACAGTTTGAATAGCAGAAGGGCCAGGCAAGCGGTCAGTATGAGTTTTTGTGAATGGCTTAATACTGCCTACACTGGCGACAGAATTGTTCCTTTTATACGAGATAGTGTCGGCGAGTTTCGATTGGCTGCTGCGACGTGTATGGGGAGATAGCACCAGTTGTGTTTTATGTCAACACTAGTGCTGCCTTCGCACACTACTCAGGGAGTGTGGGAGAGTTGCTCCATCTATATAAGATGTTAAGACGAAGCATTAATGCAGCAAATGGAATTTTTACTATTACTAGAATGGATTTACGTAATAAATAAAATAGTTATGTGGCTTATCAAGAGCTCTAGCAAGCCCCACTGCCTTCTCTATAGATGACATTTTAACTAGAACACCAGAATACTCACCGGAGGACATGTGAGCTCTTCTCGAGCTCGATCAGGTGGTTTTGGGCGATAGATGTCCCAGGCGACATTCAGGCTGGTTTCTTCCAAAGAAATTTTTACTCTCGTCGAGTGCTAGTCAGTGATTGCGGCTGCGGAATGGTAAGGCTGTCGTAAAGCGGTAGAGTCTGGCGGCGGTGCGCATATCTTTTTTTCCAATAGTCAATTGAATGAAACTTATTTATTTTGGCGTCAGTGGTTTTTTTTCACGGCAACGGTTGTCGCTACCCGCTTCAACAACTTTGGTGGAAAGACGCGAGCTGGTGGGCGGCCATTCATCGCTCACTAACCACGACAACTATGAATACATTCACGGGACGAATATGGAAAAGATTTTAAAAAATAAAACAAGAGATATACAGATGAGGATTACCCTCTGACGGAGTGGAAGAAACAGCGGGCGCCTTTTGGTGACTTTCAAATAGTAAGTGATTTTAACACTCTAGCTGGTTATTCAGATCATCCATGGCAGATCCCGCCTAAAGCATCATATTCACGAGGGAGTAGCCTTCCGGATGGCTCGCTTGCTGACTAGATTAAAAAATATCTATTCATAAAGCTTTAAGTATAGCTGGTGTACAGGTAAGGTTGCGAAAACTAAGATCAGCGAAATTCAAAATTGTGTGTCGTCATACAAATAGCTTACAAGTTGAGCAATCAATCTGAGGGTCTTTTCAGCTATGATACCTTAAAGACAGCTCCCGCGATAAAAGTGTCATGGATAGTTGCTTTCAATTATGAAACAGTAGCTGATAAGTAATTCCCCAAAGAAGAAAAAAGCAAGAAGAGTCCTCAAGAACACCATAAACAAAATCGCTCCCTGACAGTCACACCGCCCTGCGGTCTCTGTGCAACCCCTGGCTCACAAATCCCTTTATCACATCTCCCAGTAGTGGGTATCATCCAATGCAATGAAAAGAATACGAAAAACAACAAAACACGGAAGAAAAACTCTTGAAAAGGAAAAGAAACTTTTAAAAACTAGGCGTCTGAATTTAGGGTTACGGTAGCGTGCATCTTTTAGTGTAGTGTGGTGCGTCGAGCTTTTGCACCACGAAAATTGGTCGCTCGTGATTTTTACGCGTTTTACCTTGCAAGATGGGTTGGAGTTGACTGTATGTGCTCCTTATAAATAAAATGTAATAAAGGAGAGCAGAATCATTCATGGGCACGAGCGCGGTCAGCAAAAAGGACATGCAATTCCGATTAATGCCCGCCGCCCCAACAAAGAACAACTGAGCTCCGTCAGAGGGCATCTAGCAAGTGGGCGGTCCAACTGGGCGGGCGTTAGAACTAGAACTTTCAGCAGCTGTAGCTCGCTCCTCGCTCGCTGTGGAGTCGCGAGAGTGGGATAGTCTCTAGCTTGGGGGCTGTACTACTTGCACAAGGAAGGACGACCATGTACTACTCGAGCGCGGGGGCTGTCTTCAAGTATCTTAGGTGATTGTGTTAGTTCAGCCGTTTCCATGGCTTAGTTCCAGACACTACGGCCTTGAAAAAAAAACAAATGACAGGTAATGCGCGAGTTTTCCAGATCCGACGATAGACAGACTACCATTGATCCAGTGAACTCTCTGGCATGTTTCTAGACAAATACGGACTTTCTAGCTGATCGGGTCTACTTTAACTTGACAGGGAATGTTTTGATCATTTGATAAGAGAATATGAAGCTATCTTCACTACATTTCTTGCAATTATGCTGCTGTCTCTATAGCTTAAAGACAAAACACACGCTCATCTACGAAGTTTTATGTTATGATAGCTGTTTTATGCCGAAATTCGCGCTTCGAAAGTTACCACAAGAATGCTGAGTTATGGGCAAAGGTCGATCCCGCATCCTCATGCTTTCCGGGCGAGTCCTTTACGCTATCAGGGCCGCTCTTACCCTCTCAGCTCAACGGCTTTTATGCCGTAGCCTATCAGCACCACTCTTGACTTTGCCATCTTGTGGCATCTACACGGCGTATCGTTGGCATGTGAGGGGTTACGAGACTGCCAGCTGTCGCAGCGTAGTCATTTCCCTATCCAAGCTGCGCGGGGAAGGGGGCCCAGGACCGCGGGTCAGGCTAATTTCTCCAGAGTCCGCTTTAAAGCAACATTTGCCACAGAAACGCTGCACGCCCCTACCACATCCCGGGCTCATCTGTTCCGACCAGCGTTCGCACAACGT